GCGGGGGTCTCAGGGAATCCGCCGGTGGAGCAAGCGACTATGGCGGAGCCGCAGCCCTGCCCTAAGGAGACGCGCGTCTCAGTGTCCTGTAACGGCTGCAAGCACCTCTGAGGGAAAGCCGCCCTCAAGATCGCCCGCTGCCAGACAGTCCAGTTTCTCACCGTATGAGTCCTGGGTCCCCAGGGACTACCCGGAACCAGAGATCAGAGCCGTCGGGAGCTTGTGACTCCCTCCGGATTCAAAAAGACAGCCGCGCATCCTCAGGTGCCAGACACTTTCCGCGAGCGCGAGCCCGGTATCTCTGCGCTTTACTTCTGCAGCTCCTCTGGCTTTCAGTGTGCTTTTCTTTCCTTCTAGTTGTAGAATTTACACTCAGCCAGGCTTCTTGTGGTTCTGGATGATGTCCGTATTGTGTTTTTGAGGTATTATTCAATTGTTGTGAGAGACAGCAATTTCCCGGTGTTTATCTATGCTGCCATCTTAGTTTCTCTCTTCTGTGTTTTTCTTGATGAATATTGACAATATGCAAACAGAATATTTAAGCTTTGTTTCCTATTATCAGATATGGTGTTTTTATTTTTATTTATTTTTATTTTGTTTTTTAAATATATTTTATTGATTTTTCACAGAGCGGAAGGGAGAGGGATAGAGAGCTAGAAACTTCAATGAGAGAGGAACATCGATCAGCTGCCTCCTGCACATCTCCTACTGGGGATGTGCCCGCAACCAAGGTACCTGCCCTTGGCCAGAATCAAACCTGGGACCTTCCAGTCCGTAGGCCGACGCTCTACCCACCGAGCCAAACCGGTTAGGGCTTTAATGAATATTGTTAGAAGGTGTAAATATATAATGTATGCATTATATATTGTATATTAATCAAAATAATAAAAATATATAGTTATTAATGTCTTCTCTCCCTATTTTCTCTCCCTCCTCTCCCAAAAGAAAGCTTATTCAAGAAAATATACTGAGAAGTCACAGCCTAAGGAACAGAAAACTGAAAAAATGAAATGAAAACTAAAAGGCCAACAACCATAGCTAAGGGGCCACAAACAGGTACATACTAAGCTGACTATGAGCAGCATTTAACTTATCTATAAGCATTATTATAAGTATGCATTTAATTTATCTGTGGAAATGGAGCAGTAGATATAGTTAAGGGTTTAGTCTGATGCTCTGGTGTTAGACTGCTGTGACTCTGGGAGTTTCTTAACCACTTTGTGCCACAGGTTCCTCATCTGTAAAATGTGGATGAGTACCTATCTCACAGGACTGTTGTGTGCAGTGAGTGACTATTATTGTGCATCAACAGAGTGCCTAGCACAGTCGAGTGATTTCAACCTTTTTATTAACTCATAGAGAAAATGTACCATTAGGTGACAGAGAAACTAACAGGAGTTAACTATTAATTATAACAAAGAATTAATTTGGTTACATGGGTTAAATGTTTACCCATATTTAATGTATGTATTTATGAAGCTGATAATGATAAATCCTAGAAAATGAATTCCTCTCTACTGGTTCTTACTTCTGTGTCATTCCCTAATTTAAAATTAAGACCTGATTTAATTCAGTAGGGTGAACTCTTAGCAGTAGTCATTATTTGTTAAATATTTTACTTTGGGCCAAATCGCTTAGCATTAAAAAAATATATGTTTAGCTCTACCCGGTTTGGCTCTGGATAGAGCGCCGGCCCACAGACTGAAGGGTCTTGGGTTCAATCCCAGTCAAGGGCACATACCCAGTTGCAGGCTCGATACCTGGCCCTGGTGTATGTGTGTGCAGGAGGTAACCAATCGATGTGTCTCTCTCACATCGATGTTTCTCTCTCTCTGTCTCTCCCCTTCCTTCCACTCTCTAAAAGTCAGTGGAAAAATAACGAGGATTAAAAAAAATGTTTATATTTATATATTAAGTATATATTAGCTACACACACACATACAATGTCCCCCAAAATGTATACACACTTTAACAACTGATAGCTCAATTTTGAAAATGAAATGTATTTTCATAAACACTGCCTTTATCATTATTCAAAGTTGTGTGTATACATATTTTGGGACACTAATTTTAATTTTAATTCTAATTTATATCATAAGATGAAAGTTCCAGAAATCTTTAGAAGGATAATGTATATGATAGTCATTTTGAATATAGTGGGAGAATCAGGACAAAATTCAAATACGATATTTGCCCTCTAAGTAGTGAAGAGTAGACCCCCAAATTCAGGCCAGGTACCCTTCATAGCTAAGGGGCCACAAACAGGTACATACTAAGCTGACGATGAGCAGCATTTAACTTATTTATAATGCCACCCCTGTTCAAAGCAGATCAATTAATTGGTCATTTAACACAAAGAATGTAGCCAAAGACTACTGATTTCTGCCTTTGAGCAGAAACTTCCACATATAAAGGTTAGGCAGTGCAGCTCCTAGAATTTTACTTGCTCCCATTATGGGAAAATTATTCATAAGAATTAGATCTGCCAAAATGCCCAATCTGGTTAAATGGAATCCAGTAAAAGATAAACAAAGTGTTAGGGACCCTATTAAACAGGCCTGGCTCTCAGTGGGGAAAACACCTCCAAACACAAGTAGGACTCTCCTCAGTGGTAAAAATCACGTTTCCTACCAGGTTGTAGAACAGCCAATTTTACCGTGACATAATCAAGCGCCACTCTAATAACCAGATAACCCTAGAAGTGGTTACTAATTCTACAGTAAAAAGTTCTAGGGTAAAGGTTCTAAGATAAATGTTCATCACGTCTTCGCTTGTAATGACAAAAACTGGAAGCAGCCAAGGCTTCCAGCAGTCAGAGACTGGTTAAACTAATAAGTTAAATAGCTCAAATGTTAACATTAGTTATCTCTTGAGAGGTAGCTAAATGATTTCTAACTCTTTTCTTTGTACTTTTCCATATTTTTCAAAATTTTCTACTGAAGTAAGAACAGAAATTAAAATCATTATCATTCAATGGTGAACACAAGACTGAATTGTGTTTTGGGCAAGTCAGTCCTCTGAGCTTTCAGTTTTCTTATCTGCAAAGGAGGAAGTGAAAGTAGATCATGCTCAAAAATGCCTTCATATTCTAAAATTCTAAATTGTAGCATTCATTTATTAAGAAAAAAAGTATCAAATAATCCACTTGTATAACCTGCAAAAATGCTACTCCCTTACCCCCTCTCCCAACAAGCTTTTAAAGTCTCCAAAATATTTTAGAGTAACATGAAAATTGAATCACTGTTGTGTAATTTGATTAAAATACAGAAAGAGTTGTAAAATGAGTTGAGGAAAGAGTTGAGAAAATGTTCACAACAATATTGGTGTTTAAAAAAATTCAACTTAAAAATTCAAAATAAAATGAGTCAAATTAGTTAGACTAATTCTTTGGGGAAAATTTAAATTTAGCCCATTCAAACACAAACAATATGTAATCTATTTACTACTAGCAACAATAATGGAGAGTCAAGGATCTCATTTTACTGGCATTACTTGCTAAGTTTCTGGGAGCTCACCTACCCTGTCAGAGGCATACACAGCATCGAACAGCCCGAGGATGGTGACGGAGATCCCCACAGCTGGACCGTTTACCACTGCAACCAGAGGCTTAGGAAAATCTATAAAAGTGCCTACAAAATCCCTACAGAAACAGAAATACAAAAGCAAGTTTAAATGTTCTAAAGCTGCATCATGGAAGCATAGGCAAGACAGCAGGACTCTGAAGTAACAAACTCTTCTGGCCAGACTGGGTGTTCCCATCTCACCCAGCAGGCCTCCCTGTCTTGCCACACCAGATGCATCCAGGGCAGCCATCTGAATGGTACTTGACAGCTCACAGAGTGAGTCCTAGATTCGACCTTGGTTCAAATCTTGCGTTGTGGGCAGTTAGGTCAGGACCATAAAGCTGCTGTGGACTTAGATTAAGATGGCTGACTGAGCATATGCTGCATATCACAGCTCAGAGGGAATCAGAGACCCTGCAGGGATAAATGAGACAGGAAGACGAGCCTCACACCTTCTGTTTTTTTAGATTATGTCAAAGTCTCCTATTACCAGCAATCACGGAAGTCATGAATTCCTTTGGCTGCATGATAATTTGCTAAATTCCTCTGCCTCAATATGAGAGAATTTTATTTCCTTTATTTACTAGTTTACTTTTATGCTTTCCAATCACATCTCATGTAGAGCGGAGGATGAATAGGTAACAGAAGTTAAAGAGATAGAATGAATGTCTACCTGTTGATAAAGCAGTCTGGAGAAATATGCCTGTTCAAAGTCATAATTAATCCCATGGATATAAGAAGTATTTATTTTTCTTCTGCTCAACTGATTACCACTTTGATCGAATATGGACAAACCCTCTGGGGCCAGAGAAATGACATTCTTACCTCAGCATAATAGCACTTTGTTTGGCTTTCTCTTCTACTCCACCAGGGGGAATATCAGTGAAGTTAGCCAGATCATTCCCACTACAGTAATAGTCACCATTTCCTGTAAATAAAATCAACAAGCTCACCTTTCATTCATTCTATAATTGTTGAGAATCTATGTACCAGGCTCGGTGCCAAACACTGGAAACACTGGTGAACCAGCTCTGGTTCTTGCCCCAATTTACAGATTAGTGAGTAAAATAGACATTGATTTTAAAAGACACAAATAAGTGTAAGCAATGAAACTATGACACAAAGGAGTGGTACATGACATGAATATGAGTATATGTAATAGGGGGTTTGGTCTAATCAGAGAGTTTTGGGAGGGACTTTTCTAAGGAAGGAAAAACTGAACTGAGATCTGAAGGAGAGGCAGGGTTAACTAGAAAAAAAGGTGTGAGAACAATATTCATGCAGAGGAAACAGCATGTGCAGAGGTTCTGTGGAGGGGCTAACCCTGGTGTTTATGATGGGTTCAAAGAAGTACCATTGTTGCCAGGGCAGAAAAAGCAGGGGGCCGGGGGAAGCAGCTGGGGTAGGAGTAGGATGAGGATAGGTAGGATAAAGCATGCAAGGCTTTGGAGATCCTTCCTTTGAAGAGCCATTGAAGGTCTTTTCTTTTGTTTGTTTTAAAGTATAATTTACATACAATAAAATGACCAGTTTTAAAGACTCAGTTCCATGATTTAAAAAAAAAATGTTTTTATTGATTTCAGAGAGGAAGGGACAGGGAGAGATAGAAACATCAACGATGAGAGAGAATCATCAATTGGCTGCCTCCTGCACACCCCCTACCGGGGATCCAGCCTGAAACCTATGCAGGTGCCCTAACTGGGAATCGAATCATGATCTCTTGGTTCATGGTCAATGCTCAACCACTGAGTCACACTGCCTGGGCCAGTTCAGTGATTTTTGAGAACTGTAAATATCTGTGTGATCACAATTCAAAACATCCATCATCCCAGAAAAAGTTCCCTTAAACTTCTACCCAACCCTGTCCTGAGGCTCTCTGGCTTCAATTACCATAGTTTTGCTTATTTTAGAAGTTTATTTAGCTGGAATCATACAATATGTACTTTTTTGTGTGTCTTCTTTCTTTTGCTCAACTATGTTTTAAAGATCCACTATGTTCTTGTGTGTGTGTGTCAGTTATTTATTCCCTTTTATTGATGAATAGCATTTCACTGTATAGTCAACTAGAGGCCTGGTGCACGAATTCATGTATGGGTGGGGTCCTTCGGTGTGACCTGTGGGGATTGGACCGAAACTGGCAGTCCAACGCCACCTGCTGCTCCCACTCATCCTGGCCCTGCTGCACTTGCCCCGGACTCGCGCCCAGTCAGTCCTGATCTGGAGAGGCTCATGCTGCTGCAGCAGGACTTGCCAGTCGTGAGACCTGTATCTGATGCCCATCCCGAGGGGGTCTGGGGGTCCAGGATGTGACTGGCCCTCCAGGCGGGTGGTAGGACACCCTTGATGGCCCAGGATCCAGATCCCTTCCATTGACGTTCACCCCAGTTGTTGGGAGCAACTTTTATATCATTTCTTCCTTGTGGAGCATCTAGGGAGGGGAAGCGGCCAGGGCATCCGATGCCAACTTCCAGGAGGCTGGCAGTGTGGTCTGTAGGTGCCTGGCCTGTTTTCCAGATATTGGACCTGAGGGACTACTGAGGTAGTGGCTGCCACTGGGCTGGTGGGCCACCGAGACAGGTGGTCAGCTGCGCAGCACTCCCACTGTGGGAGTGCACTGACCACTAGGGGGCAGCTCCTGCATTGAGCATCTGCCTCCTGGTGGTCAGTGCATGTCATGGTGACTGGTTGACCAGTTGTTCGGTTGCTTAGGCTTTTATAAATAGACTAGAGGCCCGGTGCATGAAATTTGTGCATGGGGGGAGGGGTTCCCCTCAG